CGCAGGTGTTGGTTGATCATCGTCACTGCTTTCGCTTGTATCTGATTGACGCGCGGGCTTGGTAGTTGCTATTGCATCCGGTGGGTTAGAAACCATTTTATCAACATCTTGACGACCAATAAGATCATCTGGCCTTTCCCACACCGAAATGCGCGACGAAGGATTATAGAAAAATACACGTCCGTCACCCGTCCAAACAACACACCTAACAAAGATCATTAAATTAATACATAGCCTGTTTATTACTTTCTTGATAAAGCCTATAAACATTAATTTCCCGAATCAAAACAAGCACGAGACTGATATGAAAACGAACTGAATCAACGTTAAAATAATATACCAGGGTGTTCCAGGCACTGGCGTACTAGAGATTGGTCTAGATTTATCTTGAGGTTTAACAGTTTCTTTAGGTGATGTTTCTTCTTTTTTCGGCTTGTTGATATCTGCTTCCTTTATGCCATCTTTGGTTTCATGGTTGCTTTCTTGCTGTTTTTCTTGTTTTATAGGTTCCGTGATAACATTGTTATTAGTAACGGCAGTACTAGCCATAGTAGTATTTGTAGTATTAGAAGCTGCTTCCTCCGCCTTCTGTCGTAATGCTAATTTTGCACCTAGTAACAGACATTCAATTAAGACAAATATTGTTATGTTAAACACACCGTTTGGAAATTTCTATTATAAATAGCATACTGTCAAGATCTTTTAAAGCTTGCGGTTTCTCCCAAACAGATTCTCCAGCTTTACTGTTATAATAATATAACCTGCCATCAGGAGCACGATGTTCTGTCCATACCAAAGCAGATGCTACTAGTTCTTGATCGAGTTGTGCTAATATGGCAGGGTCCTCTGTTGGAGTTTGCGGAGTCATTACTCCATGTGGCATTTGTGGCATACCTAACGATTTTTTTGTTTTTAAATAACGTAATTAGTTTAGTAGTTATTAAAATACTTTTCGCGTATCAGATTTATAATTTATATTACCCCAATTTGCTTGCGGTGGGCCATATCCTCCAAAAGGTTGGAAACCTGGTGGTGGCATACCAAACGGTGCTGCCCCAAATTGTGTTGCAATTGGACCACCAAATTGATTTGGCATTCTATGTTGCATAGGTATCATATTAGGAGGGGGTTGCATCATATTTGTATTTACGGCTGGAGTGTTCATAGCTGGAGTGGTAGTAACAGTCGCAGGCGCTGCACCTAAATATTAATAATACGAGCATCTCCTTTTAATATATTTGAAGTGAATAATAAATCGTTTATTTGTTTGTTCGTTAAATCCTTATTTAAACGTTTAAGAACCATACATGGCTATTCATTTAGAATTCTCAAATCAGAATGAATGTGACTATTTAATACCATTTGCTTGAGCTGGGTCGGATGGTTGTGTGGTAATGTCTGGTGTCTCGCCAAGTGTAGGAGGTGGACCTGTACCAGGAGGAGCAGTACTAAGTTGATTCATAGCATCTGCATTATTAGAAGTGGGTTGTTCGTTAGTTTGAGGAACTCTATTCTCACTAATTTGATTTGGGGTAGGAGCTACGGAGGTTGGGGTGTTAGACGGCGCTGTTTGTTTGGATGCTCCATGTACCAATTGCTCTAACTGTAAAAAAAATTGAACCTTACTGTAGAGTTACTAATTAAAGGTTACTATTCGAAATATACTTTAACACTCGGACGACGGACAGTCATTCGTATGGATCGCAATCTGTATACTCACACATGCTTTTTCACCTCCTTTTATTATCACAATTTATAATATAAATAATAGTAATCAATATAGCTACAGATAAACAATATTTACTTCGATTCAGCACAACGCGTATATAGCATTTAATTTTCGTATATGTATATACAGGGTGTCCAAAAAGGTTGGGACTAAACTTATACCATGTGCTATTGAGGACAAGTAGATGAAAAATGTTCATATGAATTTATGGGAATGCATTCAAAATGTATTTACTATTATTTTTAATACAGATGGAATATCTGAAAGACTTTAACAATCGTTAATTCTTGCAGAGGGAGGAATTTTCGAACGTTTCTTATAACTGCCGCAATAAATCACAAATATCTTTAAAAGCTTATATCTTTTCAATAAAATATCTTTGGACATAAATTTATATGAACTTTTTTTTATCTATCTGATCTCAGTAACACATAGTATAAGTTTGGTCCCAATCTTTTTGGACAATCTGTATCGCGTCTAGAGTGGGTTTAAACGGACCCCAAGTGTCACCGTCCGAGTGTTGAGAATAGATGATCAAAACACAATTTCAGACCTGATCTTGCACCATGACTTTCACGTTTGGACCCTCTGGTTTTGTCCAAGTAGTTTCTCTTGTACGAATATTGTAATAGTACGACTTGCCGTCTGGTGTTTTTGTTTCCACCCATACTTCTCCATTGAGATCTAAGCCTGGAATGTTTGCTTGCTGTTGCGCCTGTTGCTGCGGGGGTTGCTGCTGACCTGGAATCTGTAACAAGGTTCCGAGTTTTGCAACACAATACCTATAAACTTCAATTTTCTGTAAATCGAAATTTACGTTATTCATATTTGGTGGTCCCATTCCAGGAGGTGGTCCGTATGGTCCCGGACCTGTCCCAATTGGGCCATTCATCATGTGTGGAGGTGGCTAATTGCATATAAAGTCAAATAATCCTTAATCAACTCATTGGGAGAAAGTCGATCAGTCCCATTTAAATCGAAATAATTACCATTCCTGGAGGTCCCATTAGATTTGGTGGTCCCATCAAATTTGGTGGCCCCATAGGTCCCCAGCTAGGATCGAACGGCGGAGGTCCCCTGAAGCGTGGTCCAGCCGGTCCTGGCGGGCAATTTGGCCTAGGTGGACCCTCAAACGGATACCCATTATTCGCTCCTCGAAACATCGGCCCTCTAGGTCCAAACCCTCTTCCTCTAAACCTTGGAGGTCCACCTCTCATGGGGAAATCAAACCCACCTCTGCCACGACCCCTTAAATTATTGTTATATATCGTGACCATGTACTTTACGTACCATACGTCTGAATCATTTACCCAAGAGTAGACATCAGCTTCATTTTGCTTCGACATTTTATATTTAGAAGAAAAGCATGTGCGCGAACATAATAGTTTTATTATATGGAAATCGTTCCTAGATTAAATCCTCGATGTTGAAAGACACCGTACATATTTTCAAAGGCATTTTTCCTTTTTCCATGTAATATGCCAAAGTGTAAGAAATTTATATTGACAAACAAATACTGTTACTAGAACACAGTCATGAAAACATCAATAAAACATGTATTATAATAATTATGGGCAAATCATTTCATCGTATAGGAGCGTAAGTAGAAACAATAGTCGCGTCCTTATACTATTTATATAGTAAGATATTGGTTGTTGGTGACAACACGAAGCTTCGTAGTTTCTGTCGGGGATATTAGGTCAGGCAGCATCGCGATGGGACGACTTAACCTTACTTTATGGTTTCTTATTTTAAACGACGCGTAACACGATGGATGTATGGGGTGTTGAGAAAAACTGTAACGCACCTAAAGCCACCTCGTCCTCGAGGTACAAAATGCCTATAATCTTCTCCATCGAAACCGTAATCCTCCGTCTCCTCCATGCCCTCCTCATTATGCTCCTGTTCATTATTGGAAGCGGTTTCCGAAACCGCGGTAGTTTGTTCGGTACTCACGTCCATTTCACGATAATTCAGAAATTAAATATTTCTTTTCTACACGCCCATTTATCTCTTTCCTCAGGCTTGCACAAAAACGCCGCAAACAAATCACTATTTTATTCAATGCAAGCCGTAAACATATTATTGCCAACATAAAAGTTGAATTCTCCTAGATTACCTGACAGTAGGGTAAACCTAGCGGTGAGCAATTATGGCGTCCGCGTTATTTACTAGTGGTATTCAGATATCAGTTTACAAATTGTTCCTAGTGCATAGACTGCAATTGATAATTAGTTATTTAATTCATACTAACGAAAGTGTGTAGTTTAACCGTGCAACGTACGGTTTCTAAACTTGCGTTTGTTGTAAAATATACGTATAAAATCGTCATGTTTTATACATATCACTACGATTTACAAGGATACGTTATTTGGCGCAATTCTGATTGGTAACGAGTGATTACACATTTAATCAATTGTTTCAATATCAAAGAATCGAAAGAATAAAATAATTTTTTTTTTAATTTTAATTTAATGAAAGAATTGTTCAAATTATTTCTTTTCTATTTTTCGATTTTTTAATATTGAAAGATAATACGTGGTTAAAAGTAAATTTTCGAAATTTGAAGAATCTCTAAAGTTATAAGCGTTTAAGTTGCTTATCCGCGCCTTTTATACACAAAATGACTCAAGAAATCGATTTATTTAAAAAAAAAAAATGCAATCGTAGTTTGCAAATACATCGATGCATTTAAAAAAGGGTTCAAAGTATAAAATAATATAGGTTCTTGAATCATATCAAATTTTGGGGTTCTAGAGCACAGACGAGGTACACGAGTCAGTGCGGCTAGATTTGGCATAATTAAGTGCATCGACGGCGACTCGGTCGGACGATCGAGGTGTTCGGCATTTTTCGGGCGGCTTCGCGAGGTGTCGTGTGGCGTTGTGTTTTGTTGGATGCAAGCGGCGTGTGGCAGAGTCGTTTGTTTTTACCATATTGCGTCAGTCTTCTTGTACCTTTCCAGTCTTATGTTAGGTGCACATATCAAGTCATACAATGATGCATTAAAAAAATCTGAAATTTTCGTTTATTTTAACATGTTGCTGTTTCCTGCGTCGATAATATTTTCTATTGTAACTAGAGCAGAGACTAATTTTCGATGTCTTTTTTCGTGCCATTTCGAACAAGATTAATAATTTTCAACATATCGGCTAATGTTAAGTAATTATGTTTTTTTTTCAAAAGAAATGTGTCGACAGGGTGGAGATTATATGGGGAGTAAACAGACGCAAAGACAAATTTCACATTAATTTTATTATTTTTGGTACGTCGTTTGGATAAACTTTCCATTATAATCGCGCAAGAATTAAGTCAGTAAATTACTCTGCTACTGATAGCAGTGGGTTTTCCATTTTTCCTATTTTATTGTAAGCCGTCATGTGTCGGTGTTTTTCTAGAAATAATATTATTCTTGTTCTATAAATACTACAAAAATTATGTAATTCGAGCCTGATAAAATTCAATTACAGGAAGGGTCTCGAACTTTCCCATAAATCAATCTCAGTGGACGTCATCCTAAAGTTAAATTGAATAATAAAATAATAGTTAGTGTTCTCATATTTCAGACTTAACATACGCATATATAAAATGGAAATTTTTTTACTGCAATTTAGAATTTACTTAAGGTTCTATGTTTTCGGTACTTTAACATTCCTGAATCTCCTTAATCGGTGCAAATGATTTATAAATGAGTATTTCAAAAGCAATGTACCTCAGAATTTAGTTTCGGTTTCCGGTTTTAAGTTTTTTATCATTCTGGAATCTGTGAATCCAGTTTGTACGACTTATTGATGTCTGGATCCTTGTCCAAGTATATTAGCTGAAAACAGAGTGTTGGAACATTTGTTAAAAATTGAGGTTAGTTTTATTTTTAGTAACTTTTACCTGGTATCGTAGGGAATTTTCATACTACAGCGACCACATTTAATTTGTGTGTAATCAGAATAGATTGAATGCAATTGTACAAGAAAGTCGCTGTTTTTTATTTTTCAATATTTTGGGGCGTTTAAATGCCCCATAATGTTAGTTATGTTTTCCGAATATACATGTAACAGTTAAGGGTGAAAAAGTTTTACCGATTGTAAGATATCCTAGTACTAAAAATTTTCGTTATAAAGTTTGTTTCGTGATTCTTCAAACATGAAGCTCTTCTTATACGTGTAAATTCAGATCGAAGAAATCAAATATAAGTAAATTTATTAATACAGGGGAACATCGATTGACAGTACTTTTACGTGAAATAGACAAATGTCTATTGAAATTACTGAAAATTTTACAATTAGCGACAAAGTAAACGCTAAAAGATCGTGTTTGTCACCGGAAAATATAAACAATCTGTTCTTCCTATATCCAAACAACGACTTATTCTTTTCCTGTACGGAAACGTAACTAAAATATTTTGCTAAATATACAATAATTTTCGCATTCTTTGATCTTAATTCTTTAATTCGAATTCAAACGTATAATGCTTTTCATTTGAATAATGAACAAAGGAAGACACGCGATGCTCAAATTTAGAAGTCAAGTTCGAATTATAATGAATATCCATAGCACTGTCTGATTTCTGCCTAAAAGAATATAGTTTATCCAACTAAATAAACGACTGTACTTTCACCAATGGTTGATCAATTTACTAACTCATTGTATATTCTCCGTACAATTTGTCAGTAGAGGTTCCAAATTACACTTTTAGGAAGAGAATATTTGTAATTATTGTGAAGATAGTAGAAAGCGTAACAATTATACCGTGACCACAGGATCCTCGAAATTAATTGAACGAAATTCTGGTACAAATGTGAGGAGGAAAGCGCAGTAGACAATCGCCAGAACCCACTCGGAAATAGCGCTAGCAACGTGCCAGCCCCAGCCACCGTCTGTTGGCAGCCATTTCTTGTAATCGTTGCCTGCAAACGTGCAGAATCAGGGTCTGTTCAAACACTTCCGCGCAAAGGAAATTGCAGAAAAGTTACCTTGGAAGTCTAACATGGAAATATAGCCGGGCACAATTGTGGCTACTGTTAAAATTAACGTCGAAGCTGAAAGACACGCGCGTACGTAAACAACGATTTTACCGTTCACCGCTGGCACCATTTTGTGACTCAAGTACGTCTGAAACATCAAACGATACCGATTATATCTTCATTTCGTACGTAACGTATATTCATTTATTTTTTTCTTTTTATAGGAGAATAGAATATTTCTTTCGTGAACCTGTCGAAAAGGTCCACCTTCATATATTCTAATGAATATTACTTTGAGCAACTTTTACCTTTTCATATATAGGATGGTCGATTTTAGTTTACGAGTTGATCGATCTTTTTGAAAACAGATACTTTATTCTTAGCCAAACTCGAGCTTAATTACAGGATTAACACGCTTCTTGTTAATTCTGTTAATAAATTCGTTCAGGTTAGGCTAGTTTTTATTACGTTGAAATTCACTTAAAATATAATGGATTTATCGAATGAAAAATTACTGAAATTTTACTCTTTATTTTCGATTTGTTTCTTTCATGCAGAATCACCTCTCCGGGTGCACCACAGGGAGGTCACGACCTGTCAACCTGGTGTCCAAATGTAATCTGTAAAATACTAGACGTTTATGGCCAGCCATTTTTGAAAAAAATGACTTCAAAGTTTAAAATTTCGAAGTTGTCGGATCGAATTCGTTTCTCTTTTAAATTTCAGGTCTCGACGAGAGGAACATAAAAATCCAATATATTTTTGTCGTACCATCAATAGTTTAGCCAAAGATTCGAGTTTTTTGTAAAGGGATATATATATTGTGTAGTTTCACAGTGTTTTCAATAACCGTGGTAAGCGTAGAGTTAACGTCGAAGAATTCGACCCGGGAGACTGGGGTTCGTATCCCCGGAATGTGCATTTTGTTTCCTTTTGCTTTTTTTTCTTATTTTTTCATTTTTATTTATTTTTAATTGTAATTTTTAATATTATGAAAATAGTTGGCTGTTACAAATAAATAAAATACTATATTAAAAATTAAAATTAAAAAATAGACGAAAAAAACAAAATGCACACTCTGGGGATACGAACCCCAGTCTTCCGGGTAGAATTCTTCGACGTTAACTTCACGGCTACCACAGTTATTGAAAACACGTTAAAACTACACGATATATATATATATATCTATCCCATTACAAAAAAACTCGAATCTTTGGCTAAATTATTGATGGTACGGTAAAAATGTATTGGACTTTTGTGTTCCTCTCGTCGAGACCTGAAACTTAAAAAACAAACGAATTCGATCCGACAACATGGAAATTTTAAACTTTAAAGTCATTTTTTTCAAAAATGTTTGGCCATAAACGTCCAGTATTTTACAGATTACATTTGAACATCAGCCCCTACGACTCCGCCAAATTTGGTTCAAATCCCAGGTTGACAGTTCATGACCTCCCCTTGCGAGACATCCTGTGCATCAACTGATTAAATTCACGTTCTTAAAATGTAATTCAGTCTCAATTTGGTCGCCGACCGTCGCATAAAAGCGATGATTCTGGATCAGAGCGGGGTTAAGTATATTCGGGGGTAGCTGTTTTACCTGAAGGCAGAAGTAGACGGTTCCAGTCGTGAAGCAGGTCATTGCTCCGATCATGTGAGCTGCGATGACACGAGCTTCTTGAAAATTAGCCAGTATGTCGAGGCCAAAGCACGCTAAAGCTCCGCACCATGCCGTCGCGACAACGATCTTTTTGTCGACGAGATCGCTGCCCCTTTCGAAGTGCCATCGAGATACTTGCCGATGTCTGATGTAAACGCAACAGGCGACTGAAAGGGAACGCGAGTTATCATTATTTGCGGCTCCGTGAGCTTCCGGTGACAGGTTCCGACGCAAAACTTATCGAAATTTACGGAGCAGCGCGGCTATATTAAGGAACTGGGCAAATATACACGACTCCGGCGACAACGTGCCGGTTTCCGATATGTATGGGAATCCTGGCACCACGTGGTCCCACTGTACTGAGATAGTGTATCTGAAACACGGACAATTTTTACGTGAAGAGATACACACGATGGTTTCGGACAGAGAATCGTATAAAATTTTACGTACGCGACCTTGCAATCTTATTTTAAAAACCTAAACGTGTGCAGTCGATTTGTTAACGATGTTGGAAGCGTTCGAACACTTTCGCGAGCTACTGTATCTTCGATCGATTTTCTTTGACGGTCACGACGATAAAATCCAACAGATCATGAAAATATTAAACGCCAGTATAATTTTTACACTGTTCAGTGTATCTTAAGGCACACGATGGACAAGAAAAATCCATTATTTTACGTTACCTTATATGAGCAGCTGTTGGGATGAAGTCTCATTGCACAACTCTTTTAGTAACCCAAAAAGACCTCGATTCTATGGCTGTATTTTGTCAATTCTTTTTTTTCGACTTTCGACGTTGATATTAATAAACGTGAACACAATCTCGTTCGATACTGACCAGCGCGCGCTGCATTGGACCTTCCTCTTTCGAATGAGACCTCATCCGACCCAAAAGCTGCTCATCTAAGGGCAAAATCCCTTATTTCGTAAACCCATATTTCGGGGGAAATTTTGTCGGTATACAGCGCGCTGCATTACCCGCGTCTACCCCCTTAAAGGGATAGGACTCTAACATAATTAATAATTACAGAAACGAAAAGTTTTCGTGGTTTAATGTGTCATAATTTGGGCTATAGAGAACAGCGTCAATTTGTTTAAAAATGATCCCTATTTGCATTCGAGACGTCATCATCGGTATAAAAGCCTGCACGAGGTAGCTCAACGAATAAAAATAATCGTGATTTACATCACGGTAACGGGAACAAAACGCTCGGCCGTCGTATTTTCCGATACCGTGGCCTTAATCGATCGTAAACTGATCGATGGCCATCGGTTCTCGATATTCCAATTACGGTATCGTTTTCATCGTCGGCCATTGTTCGAATCTGTGCCTCCGCCGGCAACGAACTATGCGTTCACGTCGAAATTAAATGTGCGTTTAAGAACTGAAAACATCGTGTCCGGTTCAAAGTTTCCGACGATCCTCGAAACGAAGAGAAGAAGTGTTGTGTCTTAGATCGATGCCTAGGATGTACCTCGTCGGACTTACGTGATCAGAAACGTCACTGGGATCAGGATGAACAGGCTCAACGGGATAACGTGCAACTTTCCGTAAGGCATCCTCGAATAGTTCCTTCAGGAGTGCTGAAAAAAAATGTCCCTCTTATAAAGACACTATAATTAACGCTCGAACCATCGAACCGATCAAAATGGCCCATTCGTAATTTCTAATACAAATTGTAAACAATTTACTAGACTGGATTTTTGATTTCCGTCGCTCTTGAATTTTGCCTTATTTTTATTTATAAAATCCATACCAGCAGATTGCAATCAACAACATACTAGGATTCCATCAGAGTCGAGTAGATTCTATTCACGAATAACGAATAAAAACTTTCGATTTATTTGTAAACTAACTTTCATTCAAGTTTCATTCTTATATTCATAAATTACAATTTCTTAATAGGTCGTTTCTTAAATCTTAAATACAAGAGAAAAAAAAGAAGTTTTAACGAAAGATTCTGGAGGCAGAAATAAGACGGCAATCGATAATAAAATTTTGTTCAGATTGTACTTTTTATCCTGTGAGCGAAAGAAACCACGTTTGCAAAATAAATTGGTAATATTTCTCATTACTATAATAGATTGCGGATATTTATGCACATAAGATATGCAAAGAACGTATGTATATCATTTATGGACTTAAAACGCGTATTCGTGCACAAAAAAAAAAAAATACGTTTACCGTGTAGAACATTGTCTAACCTATTGTAACTTGCTTTTGTTCAATCGCGTATTTATTAATAACAATTTGTTTCAGAACTTTCCAGAGTTGGTATTTTTCTAATTTTTCAAGTTACTGAAACAGTAACGTGCTTAACGTTTTTTTTTATTGCAACGACGTGATTGTCAAATTACAAAAAATCAAGCCTTTCGAACTTTTCGAAAGAACACCGTGTTAAAATTAACAACGATCGATGAATAAAACGTTATCACGTTTTACGAGATTGTGAAAAATATTAATCCAATTTACCGTAACGCAGCAACGTAATATAAATTTATTAATTATAATTACCAACTTACCACACGGCATGGAATTTATCGTTTTAATATATTATATTTCGTTCCGCGATAGACAACAATTTGAAACTGTATAATCTCTCGATTTTATAAACTAAATTTGAAACAGTTGTTGACGTTCGTTCGTCGATATTAATTTGTTCATTGCACACGATGCTCCCGATAGTGTTCTACTATGCCTTTCGAACTTTTCGCGATTTCTGAATCTTACTTTAAACAAATGTGTTACATATTGAGGAAATGTACAAGCATACTCGTGCGCAGGCCATTTAACCGAAATATGGAAATTGTATGCATTATGCAGAGTGTGCAGAATAAAAAATACAGTTCTAAGCCCATCGAGTGACAAAAGAAATTTCGGTTTAACGATAAGTTGTACTTTTCTATCTAGTTCCTATAAAAATATACATTTATACTTCTATTCATGGGTATCTTGGTTAATCAACAGAATTGATTACATTTCCAAGAGTGCTACAATTACAGTATAATCATGTGGTGTAATTACACAACAATCAAGCAGTTTATAGTCTAGTTACAGTGTATTAACGGTTTAATTACATGTTATCATATCGTGATAAATATAATTAGAATGGATAAAAAACTATATAAAATAAGTGTTTGGTGCAACTATAAAAATGACGTGCAATCGTAAAAGTATAATTTATCCAGCGTAAAAGCAAATAAAGAGTATTCGATTCCAGTAAATTTACAAAGAATATAAATCGACCGTGGAAATTTTTATTCTCGAAAAACTACAGAATTCGCTTGATATGCAAAAATCTAAGAAATACTTAAAGCAAGATACGAATTATTATATTTAGGGGTTGAGACAACCCTCTACGAAGGTCCCGTTCCATTAATTTTCTTAATAAAAATATGAATTTGCATAAAGATTCGCAGTTTGAATGTAAATCGTCCAATTCGTGGCTGTGAGTTTATCGTTTGGTTCGAAGTAAAATGCCAGTGTAACGATTGTTGTTTACCGATTGATTGGTTCTGGGGAAACATAGTTATTGGAGTGGCAAAGTATGTTAGGCGATGGAACGAAAGGTAGATCGGGACAGTGTTACGCGGATAGAAGCCGCGAACGATCGGTTTTAAGCCGTTTGAAAGAAGAAGTCTGACACCTTACCTCGAGGATTCGATCGGGTCGCTGGTATCGGTTATGCGAAATAAAGTGTCTGGGGCTACGTGATGGGGCGCTTTCAGGCAACTGTCCGCCAGCAGCTCTTAACATACCTATTGCTCCACGTAACCTGCCAATCGCTGATTAACGCGTTCGATCGCGTACCGCTGAAACAAACGCGCCCCGCGTCGATTCCATTCTGACCGCGGTTCGTTTCATTCGGACGTCGACGTCCAACTATGTCCTTCGCGGGTACCATTCTCCCGAAATCCAGAATCCGGGTTCAACCTCGCGCCCCGGATAGACCCTCGAACTGGAATTTAAACACGGTGAGCAATTCAAATCGTGACCGTTAATTTGTTTTAGAGACTTTTTAACTGAAATTGTGTTTGTTAACTTTTCCAGCAAGATTCGGATAAATACACTTTGGAGGTATATTTTAAGAGGAAATAGACAAGAAGCAGCGTGTATTCTCGACGTTTCCAGTCAAAGGTATAAAATTTTAATACCGTGAGAACAAAATAAATTTCAAAGATTAATTTGAACGATTCCTTTCGGAAAATTCGGATAATATGGAATAATATAGGATAAAATTATGACAAAATATTTTTATAATATCGCGGATATATTTTAATTTAATTTGGCGAACGTTTATTGACTTTTGAGAAAAATGAACCGATGGATTTTTATTTAATTGCGTATCTTCTCTCCTTTGCTATTACATTCCATGTCTTTATTTTTGTTTGTGAAAGAGATTATAGGACAAATTGGGACTTGTGTAAATAAGAAGTCGGAACTAAATATAAATGTTGATTGTTTATATTTACAAGCATTATTAATGAAAAAAGTAAAGAATAACATTCACGTTTAATTGTATTTATGTACTATACGTTCCTTGTTTATACAAAATTCAGTTTGTTTTCCATTTTACTAGTTACTCTATCTTTTGCTAATAAGAAACAAGTTTTTTTATCTCGAGTATGTTTAAATGTTTGAGAATCCAGTTTTACTCGCATGTTTTCAAACTGAATGAAAGTTATTTTTTAAATTTAAAGGGAGAGATACGGCATCTGTTGATTTTTTCAACAAGATTGTAATAATTAAAAGATTAAATTTTTTCGTAATTTTCAATTGTAATTGCATCGTTTTGAACTAGCAAAGTTGCAATATTTGTTCAATGCCAAAAAGGTAACAACAAAATGGATCAGTTGAATGTTATGTATAGTATAGCGATTACATTTTTAAACATTCTCAGCATTTTCGATCATAATTACATCTGTTGATTTTTTTCAGCTGAATCGTTCAACGTGAATGACATTGATAGTAATGAAAATTCGCGAAATTTCGAGTTGCAATTGTTTTACGTACTTTTTATAAAATGGCGAACGTTGATTTTTCAAATTTAAAAATGATTTATTTTATATTAGGTACAGTATTGCGTTAACATTTTCCATTCTTTCCGTGGAGTGTTTCGTGGATTTTCGTTATAAATTTTTCAAATGGTAATTCGTATATGACAAAAAGGGTTTATTATGTGTAAATCATGGAAGTATTGGTCAACAAGGATTAAATCGGTGTTATGGTTGGATCGTGACTAAAGCGAATTAGAATTTATCGCTAAAGTGTTGCTGATGCACAGTTGGCCGCGTTCGATAATTCTCGCATGCCAATGCGCGTAATAAACATTCGCGTTCAACTATGTACATACTGGCTGCCAAGGATTCGTAATTGAAATTGCATTATGGGTTTTATGTACACTCGTATCCTATTGGAATATTCGGCGACTTACACTGCTATTCCAATTAATTTCTTTCAGTATGCTATCTATTATTTATTATAGATAAAAAATATTCTGTCTTTTTCGTAAAGCAAAAGGAAATTCTGTTCCCGCTTTTCTTTGGCGTATATATCCAAAACAATACAGTTTCCTGTTTTAATAAAGGTGTTTAGTCACACCTGAGACTTTTAATGGGAGATTCAGAGGCGAAAATAAGACGAAAATTACAAAATTTCAAACCGTTCTGGAAAAAATTATTTTCGGTTGCAGGGGTCAATTACAATCATTTTTGGTGAATAGACATAATCCTGAAATCCTACTCAGTTTCGAGAAAAAAATTCGAGAAGGTGTGAAATTTTTAGTCGAAATTAAAAAATTTCAAATCATTCTGAAAAAATTATTTTTAGTTACAGGGGTCGATTACAAGCATTTTTGGTGAATAGACATACTCCTAAAATCCTACTCAGTTTCGAGAAAAAAATTCGAGGTGTAAAGTATTGCGACAAAATCAAAAAATTTCAAATCGTTCTGGAAAAATTATTTTCGGTTGCTGGGGTCAATTATAATCATTTTTGGTGAATAGACATAACCTCGAAATCCTACTCACTTCCGAGAAAAAAATTCCTTACCGAAAATCTAATGTGAGGCCAGAAATGGTACCCTGGAATTTCATGCGTGTCTTTAAAACGCCATAACTTCTGAACGGATTGGAGGATTTTAATGTTTCAAACGGCAAACAACGCGTATTTTGGCGAAGAAAATGTAGAAATTCTAACAATATTAAAAAAGTTATTCCTTGATCCCGTAAAGTTAGAAAAAACCCCATAAAAATGGTCCAATTTTCAAACGGGCGCAACTCCTACAATAGTGAATATATTTCAATGAAATTTTTTTCTGAAGTAGAGCTCATGGGTACCTACAAACAAGTATTAAACAATTTTTCTGTTGGGCGTCGAACAAAATTACTAAAAATCAAAAACGAATTTTTACTTGCAAAGACCCCTCAAATTACAATTTTTAATACTCCAAACACTCCAATGCTTACAAAAAAATGTAACACACATAGCAACATCATGCATCTAAGAGTATTTGTTTCATGTCACTGGAAAGTTATAAACCGAAATTAAAGCTACATAGAAATTACTGCCGGTAAAAGTGTGCTCGATATTTCAGCTCGATCGAGGCAATTGCGAAGGAATGTACAGGCATAAAGTAGGTTAACGAAGGGAAACATAGTTGGGTTTGATGAGTTTCATATAGACTGCGCCGCACGCTTTAATTGATCAGTGAATAAATTGTTTATTTTGTTCCATTATGGATATCACGAAAATTGCTCCTTTATTATCGTTCGCGGGAACAAACGTTATTAATAGACTGCGGATCTTTATGCAAATTCATATTCTTATTAATAGAATTAATGAAACGGGAGCTTCGCAGAGGGTTGTCTCAACCCCTGAACATAATAAATCGTATCTTACTTAAAGTATTTCTTATATTTTTCCATATCGAGCGCATTCTATAGTTTTCTGAGAAGGAAAATTTCCCACAAACGCATAAACATCTGCGGTCCGGTTATTATAGTGCACATTGCACGTTTCGTTCTTATCAGCTTTTTAGGTTGAAGATAACGCGCAAAGAGAAAACAGTAGAACGAGGTAGTTGGTAAAATCACATCTTTTTGTATTAACAACGTTACAGTATTACAATATAGGCAGTTTGTTCGGTGTTGCTCGCTTTTGCTGTATACCGCGTGATAAACGGTCGTTCGTAAATTATTGTTCCTTGTACATATTTGTTTACGCGACGCGGTCGACTAGTTGTCTCGTGTTATCGTATTGGTAACGACGATACGACGAACGCAACTTAAAACGTTGCTCGTTTTATATCTCGCAAACGTGAAGCACCGTTGATTAAAAATATTTGGCGACTGGATTACTTATTTTCTTTTTTTTTAAATACTCCCCTCTCGATATTCACGATTTCCGATAATCTCTTTTCTCGAAATCACAACGAACAAAATTATTCGAATTTGAAAGGTAACAATTTTTGTTTCGACATTGATCCGATTTGTTTCGATCGTTTCGTTTCCAATACCGATTAATCCAGACCGCCTTAATAATAATCTAGATCGTATTACCACACGCATGCGTATACGCTCATTACCACGTACATAAGTGAGTGTGTCTATGTACACGACATGTGTCTGTAATTACTAATATAAATAGTTTTATATATAAATAGTTATCTCTGGACCTTGTACCGTCCGCGGCTCGCTAAATCGCCGAAGAGAAACGCTGCACGTCGAAAAGCTCTCAAAATGTCTCGAACGACGGTACAAAGATATATTCTTGTATCTGGCTACATACTTGTGTCGTTTACGCTATACCGCTAATCGTTGCACACGAGCTTCGATTGGACTAGTTTCAATACCTTCAGCTAGCTTCGCCTACATGCAAGCATCGACCTTTAATTTAACCGATTTCGCTTCGGAGAAGACTCTAGGGTCACCGGTTTATACATCGACAGGAATTAAACGATCACGATTTCTCGTTTCGAAGCTTCGCGATTATCGAGTTTAATTTCCGTTATATACAGGGTGTCTCACCCGATTTCGACATCTTGATTTTCTCGCTATTGTTACTCGTAACAAAAAATGTTTCAGCGGAGGCTCGAATGGTATCGAGTGGAGCATATTCTGATGTTATTAGTTTTTTCGCGAGCGGACGCGTAAAGGTCATATAAAGGTCAACTTTGTTTTTTTAAATGGAACGAGGTATTTTTTAATACATCGATCGATTCAGCTGGACAATCGTTATAAAAAAGTACTAACTATGTAACGTCGTAAAATTAGTAGTTCAGGAGATATTTCAATTTTTCAAAAATCAGAAATGCCCAACTCGACGATCGTGCAAACAATTTATCCGCAAGAGATATATTTATAATAATTTAATAAATAATGTACGTTCAACAATACGTTACAAACATTACTAGTGTAAAAGATATCGACTTTTAAAACTTATAAAATGATTTTTATCCGGTACGCTTAAAGGCATCCTCATCCTCGAGTATTTTATTTACAGGAAATGACGAGATTAAGAGCTCATCTTTGTCAGATTTTCTAACAAAACGTACACTTTAAAACGGTACAATTAAACATCGAAATATATTTTTAAAATCAGAAGCTTTTATATTTCGCTTACTTTTTAAATTGATTCCAGTTTATCAGTTTTTAATTTCAAGCCTGTTTGCTGGTCAATATCAGATATACTATAAACAAAGTAATTAATCGTAAATCGATAGGGAACGTTTACGTTGTCGATGAATAAAATTTATTTTCTTGGAAGACTTTCTTATTTTGGGATTAATTTAAAAATATATTTCTCGTCGAGAAAATTAAACGTATCCGTCGCAATCCATCTTTGTTAAATCGGCAGAATTTTACGTACATTTTACTATGGTTCTGGCTTTGGAACTTCGCTTTCTGAATCGAAATTTTGAATGAAACTTTTGCAAAATTAAATAGCGAAGTTCCGGATCGGTTGTTTAGTTTTGAGTTCGTGTAAATCGGTGATCGTTCAATCCGTGCATCTACACGTGGCAGTGAACTGGCACGAAGCTTAAAACAAATACGCCGACGCGAGTCGAGGTTATTCCCCTGTGGACGGAACGTTTCCGTGGTTCCTCTCGTCGAAAGCCGACGTTATTGTCCTTAATCGCACCGTGAATTAAGCGACCTTTACCGGAATCTTACGCCCTCATCGAACGCTGAACGCTGTATAGATTAGGTCGCCACTGTTCACAAACTATCGCTAATACCATTTCTAACAGTACCTTAAATCAAACTGGAACAAACGAGATGAATGTTTAAAAGGCAGCGCGATGATAACGCAAATAAATCAATTCCTCAAACGACTCTTCTTTCCAAGCCTAAATAACGCAACAGAGACGAACAAAATTCCGATGCGGATCAAAACTTCGAATAACAAACTAAAGATATAAAAATTACAATCGTATTATATCATACTTCATATCGAATCGCTATACAGGTAGCCCTTCTACAACACGATGAGAAAATTGCAAAAACCTTTGTAAAACGCTGTGCTTTTGCAACACCCTATAACATGATTTTTGCTTATCATATTTAAAAACTAAATTACCTTAAAATAATGAACTATAGTATAATTTATTAAATTAAGGTGGTGTTAAATTAAAATAATATTTTTCGTTTTGCGTTATACATACATTTATATTTTTCATAAAAGTTAACTCACTTATGTAGAATCTAAAAAAAACATTTGTTTTTAATAAGTTTCCGGAACGTCCCCTTTTTATACTGGCTCCGGGTCTCATAGAACACGGCATTTTCTAGGAACCTATCTACCGCGTTATAGGAGGGTTACCTGCCTTAGTTTTCATTCATCCATTATTGCAATAAAATTCTGCCCGTCTCTGTTTATTCATCTTTCAATCGGTCTTCAATTCATACTATATAATTGCACAATAATATCCCTCGCATCGAAAACCAATTCGTTGTCCAAAAATTCATGGCTCGAAATCGCGTTTTTATATCTACAAAGTAGTACGGTACAAATTCGAAGAAAGTAACTGCAAATGTACAGCTCGACAAATTAGAAAGGATCCCAGGTTTGAGGGACCCCGTCCCCCACCAGGTGCTCGTAGGAACTAGGTTTCCTTTGTAGGTAGTGTCCCAATAGTGACAATTTTATACGATTTCAATTCGTATCCTATAATCTCGTATTTCCTTTATTACATGAAATTTTTCGAAATTCGAAATGCCTGATTTAATCCGTTCCCTAGCGACTAGAATACCACTATGAAAGAGCTTGTCAATTTGAATTTATCGCTTCCTTGGTAACGATGCACCCGGAGATCGATCATGTTCAAAAATTCAGTTACACTTCATTGTGGAAAATAACAAAATGTACAGTTTGATGAACGTTTTGAACGAATAATTTTACGTGTAAGTTACAGAATTTAATGTTTCTTTTTCATAGTGAATTGTTCCTAAAAAATTCTGTTTATAATTATCGAGCCGGTAAAAACGAAATGTTGACCTGCCATCCAAATTATATTATGAATTTTAATAAACACAATTTTTCAACTGCGTTCAAATTGATTGTTTTATCAATAGAAGTAACGAAATTCGAGCTTTTCAGAGAGTTGTCTCAACCCCTAAATATAACGATTCGTGTCTTGCTTTGAACATCCACGGATCTATTCGGTCATACCCGCGGGGATCTGATAGAATTTGTCAAACTATACATCGAGAAAAATACACCTTCCGCGAGTTACGATAGATCATTTGGGTTCACCTTTCCATCGCGATCCCAGGATCGTGTTACGCGCTGGCTTCGTCGATCACTGTGATCACCCTATTACTAGGAGGCACATTCGTGACGTGCCATTTCGGTTTGGAATTGGTTTCTTCGATCGACGGTTGAACGGGCATCGGTCGTTCAAAGTTCGTACGGCTGCTCTTGGAACGCGCCAGGGACCACCTTCGACCTCGACGATCGGTGATGATCGGCATCTCGGCGATCAGATTGTTCTCGAACTCCGAGAGCATCAGATAGTTCTCGACCTTGTTGCACGAGGATATGCAGTCACCGATATAATCGAGGTCCTCGAGCACGTTGTCCGGGAGATCCATGTCGGCGATTCCCTCCTCGGAGATACAGGTCAGCTCGGGTTTCTCCGTGGCAATCGCGTCGATCATCTCACCTGCGACAAAATGCTAGTTTTCACAATCGAATATCGATTTTAATTCGTCATCGTTCGAGCACGATAACAGTTTTCACTCTGTGTTGCGAAACGCAGTAGTTACTCGCATCATGGCGAAAAGTAGGGGAACCATTTCCGGCCTTGCACTACATTTTCAGTAAAGAATTTTTTTCTCGAAAACGCCTAGGATTTCGGGGCTATGTCTATTCACCAAAAGTGATTATAATCGACCCCATCAACCGAAGATAATTGTTCCAGAACGATTTGAAATTTTTTGATTTTGTCGAAAAACTTCACACCTTCTCGAATTTTGTTCTCGAAAGTGAGTAGGATTTCGAGGGTATGACTAAGGACCAAAAATGATTACAATCGACCCCAGCAACCGAAAATAATTTTTCCAGAACGATTTGAAATTTTTTGATTTTGTCGAAAAACTTCACACCTTCTCGAATTTTGTTCTCGAAAGTGAGTAGGAATTCGGGGTATGTCTATTCACCAAAAGTGATTATAATCGACCCCAGCAAACGAAAATAATTTTTCCAGAACGATTTGAAATTTATTGATTTTGTCGAAAAACTTCACACCTTCTCGAATTTTTTTCTCGAAAGTGAGTAGGAATTCGAGGGTATGACTAAGGACCAAAAATGCTTGTAATCGACCCCTGTAACCAAAAATAATTTTTTCAGAACGATTTGAAATTTTTTAATTTCGACTAAAAATTTCACACCTTCTCGAATTTTTTTCTCGAAACTGAGTAGGATTTCAGGAGTATGTCTATTCACCAAAAATGATTGTAATTAACCCCTGTAACTAAATATAATTTTTTTAGTATGATTTGAAATTTTTTAATAACTTTTTAACGAAGCCTGATTGAAAAAATTGATATTCTCGAATTTCCCATTAAAATGTTTCCCAGAGGTGGCCGAACACCCTGTACAAACTAACGAGCGAAGTAAAATACAATGTTCTAACTTTCAGTTTTACATGTTATTTTTCGTTTTATGGAATATAAATATATTTTGTTCTTTTAAAATATAAAAAATGTATTTTATATTTTTGTCGAATAGCGTAATTGCATATTTAGACAGTGATTACCTGTAGGAGGTGAAATTTCGGTTCCAAGGACAAGCGCAGCTGCAGCAGCCCCGGCAGCTGCGACGTGTGGACCATCGTTTTCCGGTTCTTGACTGAACGATAATCTGCGGCGTTGTGGACAAGCGTCCGATATACAGAGATGCTTGGTTCCGTTAGACCTTGTGTGCTTGTGTCTCGATAAGTTCCTTCTATGGAGATCTATGAAGAAGAGGGTGAAACTGCCGACGAGGACGCAGGTCGAGCTGAAATAGTATCCGGCCTTTCCACCGTAACCGACGTTTATGTATCCTGGAAAATATATGATCCAGCGTCTGAGCGGTTAAACTTTCCCATAATTCTTTGTATTATTGGCAGAAAGAAGGATTAGTTTCCGAGTCCAGGGGATTTTGCCTACGCGCGAGTCTGTCAAAGGCTGAATAAAACGTCCGAGTCGTGTTTAATTACCAGAAATCGGAACTCCGATCGCGATCGGTATGGCTTGGGAACACTGCACGAAACCCCAAGTTCTCGCGAAGTTCCTCGCTCTCACTCTCTCGTATGTGTACATTTTCAGGCTGTAGTGGTAACCGCCGCAGAAGATACCTGCAGTAAACGCACATTTCACTTTTATCTAGAAAAATTCATATTTATACGTTAACAACGAAAATTTCAGACCGTTTTACACTATTTGTATCATCGATCGGCTCGTTGAAATTTTATAACGGTGAGATCTACGACATTAGAGACATATTTAATTCAGGCGTGAGATGCCCCAATTAAAATTTTATACTCGTTGGAAATTGTATACTCTGGAAATATTTTACTCGATTCTTTTCATTCTGCATTCTTGAAATTAAACGACGAAATAGAACCACGCAAGTGCAAGTTGCCCCGATGCTTTGATCTCAATTTGCTCCAGTAAAATTGTACACTCTGGAAATATTTTCACTCGACTCTTTTCATTGTGCATTCTTAAATTAAACGGCGAAACAGAACCACGCAATATGAACCTGACGATAGCGACAAATAACAGCTACAACAGCGTTAATTTAATTAATTTATTATTGGGTCATTTGGCTCAAAAAGAAATTACGCTTACACCCGATTCTCATTATACATGTCTCTCCCACTTAATCCCTGTATAGATCATGGCTCAGTGTGGTCTGCATTGAATGCAACCCAGGGGATGAGTAATACCGATGCATTAATATGTACTATCTAGGATTTATCTAGGAAGCCAAACGATGTTTACAGGATTGGACGCTCCAGATCTACCGGCACAATTATCGAATAGAAGATTTTATTTTACTGGAGCCCTTACAGACGACTTTCCACCGGTCTGCCAAAAGCCTCAAATCTTTGACCAGTGTCGGACAATAATATTCGCCGTGTATCGGTAATTTACGTTTACGAAATTCCATATGGATCTTTCTATCGTTTGATAATTTCGATGTTAACGAGAGCGTATATTCTACCATAAATCCACGCAAACATGACGTATCCGTGGTAATTCCCTCGAACGGCGGTGAGGGCCAGGATGCAGAGTCCGCATACGAACACTGCTGCCTGCGTCAGATACTGTCGCGCTATCCTGCACTCCACGCTCCGATGCACCACCAGGAGTCCAAAGGCTACGCAGCCAACGGTCCAGGCCAAGCCCAAGTACGCCTGGAGCAGGATCACCGTGTCGCCCAGACCCTCCTCCTCGGCTTGATGGGCCAAATAAAAAATCGGAGTGTTGATCCCGAAGGCGGATATCCCGGTGGACACCAACAGTATCCTGACCGTTTTGCTTTTCAGCGTGCTGAAGTCGAAGAACGGCGGCCTGTCGTCCGTCTTATTTTTATCCTTGATCTTACGCTTTTGGTTTTTTAGATGCAAGATCGCTCTGCGCTGCGGATGGTAGAGGGACGCGCTTCGATAAAAAGTGCCCAAGATAAAAGTGAGAAAAACTACGCCGGTCACCGCCTGAAGACCCAGACGCCAACCTATTTTGCTGGAAAGAGGAAACAAGCATTCTTATGGATTTAAGTATCGAGGGAACTGGGTTTTCTAATTTAACATCCGCTTGTCGGGTCGATGGTTGTTTCTGATTTAATTTTTCTCTCATTGTATTTGTAAAATTCTTTATTTATTTACGATCGTTAATTTCTCCATTTTGGACACCAAGTCCGCTGGTTGACCGTTAATCAAATCGCTAGTAAATGCAAATTTAAAGCATTTAAAGCAACATCCACCGATCCGACTAATTGTATGAAATCGCTGAAACTTTCACATCCACGGTAACATACAACCGATGCCTCCGTTGCGAAATTAAGCTTCGCGATAATTAGCGTTTCAAAGACATTGACGTGTACCTAATCGCTCCTTTTATAAAAGCCGACATTACAGCAATACCAAGGCCACTTCCGGACACAATGAAAATCTCGACCAGCTCTCTTCTTCTCTTGAAATATTGCGCCACCATCAGCGTGCTGCAATCTCTCGTTATTCCGACGCCTATTCCTGCGTAAAATAATTTCATCCAGAGGAACAAGATATTTATTTCGTCGCTGAAACGAGCAAATGAGATATCAGCGTTAAAAGAACCAGTTTATCGTTTTGGAAATGATCTTTATAAACTGAAACAATTAAATACATTATCATTGACGACAGTGTTTAATTAATAATTTATGTAATTGATAAGATTAAATTTGAGCGATGTAAATTAAATTTAAAGCTCTTTCAATATGCTCAAAAGCCACCCTCACTCGAGCGTGCAGTCGCTTTAACGCCCCTCTGAAAGACTAACATCCCCTGGGGCGTTTCAGCCTTCTTCACGTTAGAAATTGCTGCTCCAAAGCATGCAAATCTTATCTGTGTAACCGTCCAATAAAGTTGCTTCTTTCAATGTCTCCGCGACTGGAAACGGCGCGTGAGAAATGGCAAAAGTTGAATCATAATTGACGACGGTGGACGAACGCGAAAAGAAACGACGCCAATAGAACAACTAAAAGTTACTAATTCAGCGTATCGATTGTCATCAATTATTTAATGCTCTAATAAAATCGATGCATTTCAGTTTTTCTGTATAAGACATTTCGATTTTCTAGGAACACCATGTTAGGGTTGAGTATTCGAATACAATGAAAAAAGAAATTCATAATAATATCCGACCCAGAAATGTTTGCTATTTTAAAAAAACATTTAAAACAAATTAGAATGTTTCTTCTATTTTACCAGTTAAATAGAATAAATAGGACTGTGGGAATTAAACTTGTAACAAAAATATTTACTCCGTGGAATGGATCCCTTAACCGAGGAAAAACGGTTTTAATAAATCCGAACGTTTTCTTTGTTTTTTGAAACGACGGGGCGCAGACTCTGGTGTTTATTTGTTGTTGTGGTTCTGTTCTAGCTTACCAACGACGGTGCCGTAGCTGAAAAACAACTGGTGGAATTGCGAGGCGAACGAAGTGAAGAGACAACCGAGTGCAGTAACGAGGCCACCCAAAACGGCCGTGAGTCTAGTGCTCTTCCTCCGACAAAACGCTATTGTTACAGGTGAAACCAGCAAAGCCACCCCCGTCGACATTGCACCTAACCATCCTGTGAAAAAAAAAAGAACAATAGTTTCTTAATTCTTTTAACATCGAACAAATACCCAATTAACATCTACAATATCTTATACAAATAAGGAACAAGCACATAATTCATTAGGTATCGTTCCTAATAACTAGACATTTTGTTAACAGAATTACCGAACCGGGAGCTTCGTAGAGGGTTGTCTCGACCCCTAAATATAATAATTTCTTAGATTTTTGCATATCAAGTGCATTCTGTAATATCTTTATATTATATTTTTTTTTAAATTTTAACAATTAATCACGCATATAATTACTGTTCTAATTTTATGAACGGTATTTATTAAACGTTAATAAGAATAAAATAAGAAATCAACGGATCCAACGTTTAGCCGACGCCAGTTTTCCGATTTCGTTTCCCGTATTATCTTTCTTATTTTTCTGCTTCTCCTTTTTCAGAGGTCTATTTAAATTCGTCATAAATGTCTTGCGCCGGGGTCGGGGGAATGGATCAGAATTTATGACGTTCCCTCGAAACCACGCGTATAACGTATTCATTCCCATAGAGTTTCCGGTGATAAAGCTGTTTCGATGTTCGATGGCCCTTATAAATTGATCGCTATCGTAATATGTATAGCTTAGAGCTCCTTTCCCTGTTCGTATTGATTGGCAGATTTCCTCAGGGAGTCTGCTCCTGATCGATGAGACAAGCGAATACTATAACTCGATGTTTCGGATTGGAGAACACGGAAGCATGGAGAGACATTGATAAATATTAATTTAACGAAGATGGTGTGTTTTTAATGGAACTTCGATCGAAATGGCAGGTCTTATGAGAACGTGACTTCTTCGCTGTTTTTGATATTAGGAATTCTTCCGCAGATATGCTTCAATATCGTTTTTAATTAAATAAGAATCAGACTGCTTGTATACTTATTAAATTATAGTAAAGAAGAAATTTTAAATATTTATTCCGTAGAATAGATTCCATCAATGTGCAAACATTTTGAATAAATTCGGACTATTACTTTTACTTTGATAAAAGACCAAATATTCAACTTAGGATTGAAAAAGCGACTATCGTTGATCGAAGAGATTTCTTGCATATTTGTTGCAATATTGATTTATAATTGATCAATTAAATAAAGTGGAAACGTGTAAAAATGTTTCGTTACCCTCAGGGTCTAAAATTGCCCAATTTTTACCATTGTCCTTTTTCTTCTATCTTCAATAGGAACAGAGTACAGTTTCTTTCAAGTTCGATCATTCGTTTAGACGCAATCGTATGTTTTCAATAGTCAAATCGTAAGCAGAGCGTCTTAAAATATAAATCTGTATTTTCCTCCAAGTTGGAATACTTTCAACGAGCAAAGAAGTAAAAGTTCAGATATAAAGTTACGTAGAGTCGCGGATGGAGAAAGTGTTCTTGTCCGAGATTTATTTCCTCTTAGATATAAAGAAAAAAAATGGACATTTACGATGCAATTACTCCTTGCATTCCTCTCTGTGCGTCACCGACAGGTACTCGCTTGCAAATATATATCGACGAATCATTCACCTGGCAGTACGTCTCTTCTACCGCTCTAGAACCGATCTCCGATGCTCCGTGCTCGCTTTCGAGCGGCCATATTTCATGCTCCTAGTTTGCAATCGTAATAAACGCCTCGCGGAGCCACGATTTTCCTACAATTACAACCGACTCGTGCGGCGATCGATCCACGTTGGATCTTTCAGCGTCGTCCGATTGGATCGTCATTAACCTTTTGACTGCCGCGCGTCCCGGGAAGGATCCATCCACATAGATGGCGCGATCGTCACAAAAAAGTACCCGGAGATTTCAGAGACCATTCTTACGGTTTAAAAAAAAAATAATAAATGCATATAAATTAAAATATCCAATTTTTATCCAATTCGTATATTTACGTCTTTCGTATAATATTGATAGACTTGTGAAAGCGTATATATACGCATTTAGCAGCCAAAGGGTTAAGAAACCAAGATGATTAATCGACTGCTTCGTAGACCAAAGTCGTTCTCGCTTCTAAAGTCGATTGCCAAATCAATCCTCCCACCCCCACCCTCCCCACAGAGATTTAAAAAAATACAATAATTAGAAGCAGACATCGGTGTTGCATTAGGTGTAAAACGACCAATGGTGTATTGACTTTAAATATGAAAAGGTTCCAGCCACTCCTAATCCAAGCGGTGGTCCACATAAACGAAGACTAAGGAGGGAAAGTGGAGCTCGTTAGCGAGTCAAAGTGGCTGCCAGTGAAAGGAACTCGAATCGCGAACAAAAACAAAACGAGTCGTAACAGCCGAAGTCGCGTTTACGGAAAGAATAATAACCTGTGACGGCTGCGATACCAGTTTTCGGCGCATTTCGTGAATAACAATAACGAGCCTGCTTTTAACTCGCATCAGCGTTAGTTCTGCGAAAAACGTCACAGGAATGGTTACAGCGATCGTTCCGCGAGCGTAAAACTGCTCGTAGGGGCAGAGTTTCTTTTCCTTTTGCCGCATAAAATATTCAAACGGTATCCGGCGTCGTATTTAAGCTGGTTTGCCAAGGTCTGTCCGCGAACTGAACTCCTCTTGGATCCCTTTGTTTGCAACGGTACGGACCGTTTGCCATAAATTCAACAGTTTCGGGCCAAGAATGCGTAAACAATATAAGGGAATGTCACCTAGATTCGTATACTTTCGGTACAATTAATCGTGAAAATTGGTTGCCTCTGCGCGAGACGCGTAAATCACCGTTGTTAGAATAGGTTCGAGTTTTCTACGGTTTCTCCGTGGGCCACCATTTTAGACCGCTGGTTATTTTCGAATGATCTTAACTATTAGATAAATCAACGCGAAATGATTCGGGAAGCGCCATTTCTTAGCCAAAAGTAAATTTTAGCTTCATCTTTGAAGTTCAAAATATTACTTCTTTCGATAATAAATTTATATGTCTAAATATATACTAGGACAAACCCAAGACGATGTTCATCTTGCTCAAAGAAACAAACACATAGATGAACGCAATATTTGATAATTTTTCAGTAATTTATTACGATATTTATCAAATCTTCGTCGCACACTATCAACACTTTAATAGAATTCATAAATACTATATGAATATACAGATATAGAGGCCAAAATGAGACGAAAATCAAGAATATCAATTTCTTGACTGAGGCAACATTAAATAGTTATTAACGTTCAAAGTTCCGTCCGTACTGAATTTTTTTCTAGAAAATGGGTAGGATCTCGGGGGTAGGTCTATTCACCGAAAATTATTGTAATTGACCCCCACAACCGAAAATAATTTTTCCAGAACGATTTGACATTTTTTAATTTTGTCGAAAAATCTCGCACCTTCTAGAATTTTTTTTCTCGAAAGTGCGTAGAAATTCGGGGGTGTGTCTATTCACCAAAAATGATAGTAATTGACCCCTGAAATCGAAAATAATTTTACACATTTAAATTTCGCCGAAAAATTTCAGCACCCTGTCGATTTTTCTTAAAAATTCGTTTTTGATTTTTAGTAATTTTGTTTGACACCCAACAAGAAAAATTGTCTAATACTTGTTCGTAGGTACCCACGAGTTCTACTCCAGAAAAAAGTTTCATTTAAATATATTCACTATTGTAGGAGTTGTGCCCGTTTGAATATTGGGCCATTTTTATGGGGTTTTTTCTAACTTTACGGGATCAAGGAATAACTTTTTCAATATTGTTAGAATTTCTACATCTTCTTCCCCAAAATATGCGTTGGTTGCCGTTTGAAACATTAAAATCCTCCAATCCATTCAGAAGTTATAATGTTTTAAAGATACGCATGAAATTTCAGGGTACCATTTCTGGCCTCACATTAGATTTTCGGTAATGAATTTTTTTCTCGGAAGTGAGTAGGATTTCGAGGTTATGTCTATTCACCAAAAATGATTATAATTGACCCCAGCAACCGAAAATAATTTTTCCAGAACGATTTGAAATTTTTTAATAACAGTTTAACGAAACCTTACTTAAGAAATTGATATTCTTGAATTTCGTCTCGTCAGAGGTGGCTAAACGCCCTGCATACCGATGAAATAAAGTTACAAGATTTACAATCGTGTTATGCTCAGTGCCCCAATACTTTAACACGGTAGTATATGTGCGATTTACATTTGAAATGAATTTGTTTAAGTCACCCATCCCCTGAATCAACAATAATTTCTATATAGTTTCTGATAGTTGTAAAAATTCATATAATAAAAATGTCCCAGCGACAAGGTTAAAAGATTTCAATAATAAACGCCGCAGGGTAGTAAAATGTAGTAAAATATTGAAATTAGAAAATCGGATCGTTGATCCTCGTGTATCGTACCTACGTTGACTAAGGGTTGCCTGTATCGTTTCGTTCCTTCCAACAGCAGCCAGGATCCGACAGCCCCGTGAATCCCCGTGGCAAGAATTTGCACCATAACGCCGGTTACAACGACCACCCACCCCCAACCACTCTCTGGATAGTAATGCTGTCTTACGGTACATCGTGCAATGTATCTACAGCACGTAAAAATAAGTGCCAATTGGAAAACCGCTAGCTCGTCCCAATTTAGTCACGTTGCCTATAGTTATGCAATATCTTTTCAGTATGGGGCCACAAATAACAAATTTCCTAACGGATCGCGCTAAGAAACACTTCAAGTCTTCGAATTCCGATTTCGATAACGATTTTTATATTTAAAAAAAATTTGTGATCCAATCTTTTATTATATACTTTTTCCTAAAAAAGATCAAAATTAATTGGTTCAACACTAGAACTACCAAAGCGATCAAAATGGCCCAGTAATTTCTAATAAAACCTGATAAAAAATTTATTCGACCGAATTTTTGAAAGTTTACTGTAATTTTCTATAAGAGAACGAATATACATTTATTTCCATTGCATCGTACATTTTTTCACGCGTCTATCGTTTTAATTTCTTTGGTACAAATAAATTCACTATAATTGTCGGTAGTTTGAATGGTAAATGTTGAAGAAAATACATGAAA